GTAGTAAAAGTCTAACAATTTTATACAATTTTGCTTTTATTTAATGATGTGGAAATAGAAAATATTTTACTTCATATATTGTATGTGTTTGTATGAAATGGTGATGAATTCTGGAGAAATATGTAATAATAAAGTGGCATGTTGTAACCTATTCATGATATTAAATGAGGAGAATATACTAATTGAAGGAAAATCAGTTAATTGTAGGAAGCATACAGATAAATGATGTGCAATTGCCCAGATTAAAAGAGAACTGGGGTTAGTCAGCTAGACATAAAACAGGTGGAAATGTGACATACGTCTTATGAGGGCAAATAAGTGATCCATGAAATTACACCTAGTTACTTGTTCTGATTCACTGATATTTGACATTGGGTAATATATAATTTGTAGTTAGTCTACATTCTAACAGCATGCAACATATTATTCAATGACTGAGGAAATATTATGTTCATAAAAGATAACATTTACATTTTGAAAATCCAATATTCTTCAGTATATATACATAAACATGAATGAAACCATGACAATTTAGTAAAGGGCCTTAAGATCAAAAAAAAAAGATGGATGTTCTTGTACAAATCTGGCATATTAAAAGTTGAATATAAAATAAAATTTTGATCTACATATTTTACCACAGTTATTGAAAGACAAGAAAAATTTTACTAGGAAACACTTTCAAAATTTAAAACATATGATTAGTATCATTGGAAATGAGAATATACTTGATGATTTCAAGCAATTTAAATCAATAACATGAATCTTACAGTCTGTATTATAGAAGAAAATGGTGGGGTGGTAGGACTGGTCATTTTTAATTCCAGAATAGGTGGTGTGAGTCTGTCCATCTCGGAAGAGCAGAGGCAGATATGGTAGATCTCTATGCATTGAAAATATCATGATATTCACATAAGGTTTCAAGCAAGCCCAGATATATTGGGGTCCTGCTTTTATGAAAATACAACCTGGATTTCAAGTGTGGATAACTCCAAAAGCTCCAGTATAAGCAGGTTCTAGTACAATTGGATGACTGTAGACAGAAATTTTCCTGTAAGCAGATGACCATGTAAAAGCACAAAGAATCAAACCCATACTCTAATTGCATAACACTTATTTGCAGTAGAGATCAACTACACTTCATGTTTGAAATCTGTGTCTTAATATGAGAACTATGTTTAATTTTGAACTAGGTTTTGAGAGTGTTATTCCTTCTAGAATGTGGCCTGTTCCTGATATGATGAACTGAGTTCTTATCTCGCCTTATTAAGATAATATAGCACTTAGGGACAAAAATGAAGCCAAGGAGGGCTGCACTAGAAGCCAAGATGGAGAAGACTTCCATAGCCACCATGATCTTCCCCTTGGTGCTGTGGTAGACAGGGAGGAAGGTGACCCAGACACAGAAGAACACCAGCATGCTGAATGATAGGAACTTAGCTTCATTAAATGTATCTGGAAGATTCCGTGACATGAACGCCATAGTAAAGCTCCCAAGTGCCAAGGAGCAGAGATATCCCAGTATACCATGGAAGGCAAAATCTGAGCCCTTGTTACACACAAGGATGATATGTCCACGTTCAGCATGATAATCTTGGTCAAGGAAGGGAGGAGAGGTCCCTAGCCAGATTCCACAGAGGACAAGGTGGATCAGAGTACATATGGGGATGATGAAGTTCGGAGCCTTTGATACTATTAACCACCTCACAACTCTCCTTGGAAAAGTAACCTTGAAGGCAATAACCACAGTGATAGCTTTGGCCAACACAGTGGCAAGAGCCACAGTGAAAGCACCTCCAAATGTGATCTGTTGCAGAATACAGGTTGTGGTGTTGGGATGGCCAATGAAGAGCAAGGAACACAGGAAACAGACAGTGAGTGTGATGAGCAATGTGTAACTAAGGGTCCTATTATTAGCTTTGACAATTGGAGTGTCTCTGTGCTTCAAAAAGAGTCCAAGAACAAACGTTGTGAGTACAGAGAGACACAGAGCTATGGTTGTGAGAGACATCCCCAAGGGGTCCTCAAGGTTAAGAAAACTCACAGCTTTCTGGAGGCAGTGTTTCTTCTCTGTCTCTGCATAATGACTCTCTGGACACTTCATGCACTTTTCCATATCTGATCAGAAATGAAGGTGGGATTTAATCCAAGCTGAAGTAATCCCTTTTTTTCTGTACTTTTTGACAGAATTGCAATCTACATCACTTTCCTTTTTTTCTCAGGGACAAAGAAACACAAACTATGTAGTGAACATTTTCATATTTCTACCACCCAACTTCCTTATCTGATATTTCACTTATTATTCATGTGAACTTAGAAAGTGTGTTGATCCATCTCAGCCCTCTTTCCTCTTGCTCCATTCCTCAACTTCTCCCACTTTTATTTCCCAACTTAACGTGCTCTCTTATCTCTACTTTTGACATTTTAATACACACTGAGTTTATTCAATGATGCTAGTATTTACATATTATGGGGGCAAAACCAGGAATAAGGGCAACATTTCAGATTTCACAATGTTAAAGAGAAAGTAATGTTCCTCTTTTGGTAGTAGTTATCAATTACTAGTAGCTTCTCATACAACCCATCTTCTTTACAGTGAATTAAATTAAATACACCTTACACTTTTCTCTCTTATATAACTTCCAGCCTCTTGTGCTATTGGTGTATCTCTTTTGAAAGATGATTACAATATATAAACATGCTTTATTTCTGAAACCACACCATAAGTTATACCACATTATTCATTTGAGTAGTTCAAAAGAGGAAGTATGCTTTTGAAATTATTTTCATAAAATACTCTTCTTAAACATAGGGTCTCAATATTCTTATCATTATAAAATGCTTCCTGTTTTCTAATATTGACTCTTCTCTGTGGAAGCTTTTGTGAATAGGCATTACTATGTCTTTATAGGCTTGACTAGTGCACTAGTGAATGGTCCTCATTCCAATTGGGTAAAGGTCAGAACTATTGAGACAGTTTTAGGATATCAAATAAAACATTGTTATAATATTCTCCTCTTGAAAATTCATAAAATTCATCTTATATTTGAAGTACAAGAACAGTGATTTATGCACGCCAGATTTCCACTTTCATTTTTTGTATGATTATAAAAAGAAACTCATCACCAGATTTTTAATTTTATTTGGTTGAAAAATTTTATTAACATATTATTGAATTCACTTTTGTAGAATAAAATTTATTTCTATATACTTTGTAAATAATGTTTCCTTCAGCTATTGTGACACATTGTTATATCTGTTCTTAGGACATTGCTTTCAAAGTATATCCTCAGGCTCTGTAATTCCCTTCTCTTTATGTGGAGGTGTTCATTTTGTTTTATTTTTCTAAGTTTTAGTGGACAACTCACATGTATAACTCCATTCCTTACTAAAGGCACATGACACATGTAATAAAAACTACTGTGTGTGTGTGTGTGTGTGTGTGTGTGTGTGTGTGTGTGTGTGTGTTTGAATATGTGCATGCATATTCACTAAAAGTATGTTTTTTTAATAACAGCTTGAGGGCAGTCTTTTACATCTCAACATGAGAAATCCATGAAAGAAGTTGCAGAAAGAATGTAAAAATCAGAGGTCATGAACTACTTCAAGGGCATAGAAACTTCCAGATACAGCTGGGCAGTTGAATATATAAATTTGAGGTTTGATATCATACATATAACAAGTGAAAGCTCAGGGAAGATCAAATATGTATGGAGAGTTGGCATAAAGTACTACACTTAACTGAGAAGCTATTTGACCTCATAGCTGCTGCTATAAGGGGAAGACAGTTTAAAATTTAAGAATGTGGCAGTAGGAATTAGTCCATATTCCATCAGGGACTCTACTCCATACAGTATTTGGGTAACAGAAACGGAATTCAATGAGTTTTTCTTATTTTTTTAACAAGAGAGAAAAGAAGTTAGGGAGGAAAGTGAAAGATTTGGGAGGGTATGAATATGATCAAAATAAATAGTATGAAATTCACAAAGAATAGAAAAAGTTTCAAAATTTCAAAATTGAAATAAGCTTGGTCACAAATTTAGTATTAGGTATGGAAATACTAGCTTTTAAAGATTTTTCTTCCCAATGAAACATGCTATGAATATGTTCATGACTGATTCTTCTAAATGGATATTCTATATTCCATCACAGCTCTTACTTCTTGGTACAACTCTCAGTAACAGACTGTTGGAACTGCTTTGAAGATATTGTTTTATATACTGTTTCTCAGAATTGGATCATAAAAATGGACATAATCCTATTCATTAAGGAAACTTGAAATTTTAGTTATGCTGTACAGTCAATAATTATATAGTGGGGACATCAAACAAAATTTGCTAATTTTATGTTTTGGCTGGGAAGAATCATTATTATTAAAACAACCTATCCAACATTTAGGTGAGTTCTAATCATTATGGAAATACAGTTAGGAAAACATCCAATTTGCACACTTTATTAGTATGCATTAAATTATGTGGGGAAATAAAGAATATTGATTAATACAGAGAAAAGGGGTTTCCTGCAGGAAACAATAGCTGAAGTTGATCATAAATTTAAATCAATTATTAATTTCAGTGCCTACTCTGTACTATTTCAAGACATGGTGATGCACTTTTCATATCATAAATAAGAGAAGGAATGAATTTTTCTGACTTCTCATTAGATATTTTTCAGTTTTTAAGATAATGCAGAATCCTGTAGACACATGGAACCATTTCTGTAAGAATGATTCTTACCTGTCTCATTGGAAATCTCATTGTCTGCACAAGGAGTGCAATCATAGCAGCAAACAGCCTTGACCTCCATGGAAACTTTCCTGAATCCAGGACCACAGCTTTCACTGCACACAGAATGTGGAATCTGAGAAAAATTGGAACAAAGTTAACAAATTCTCATGGTTTATTGAAAGTCTCAAAAATATTTTTGATAACACATAATTAAATTGAAAGTTTTATTCCTATAAAAGTAGAAAAGGAATTTGAGCATCTGTGATCTATACAAAATTGGTCTGAGGATTATCCGATTATTAGACAGTTTGGATCATAATGAGGTATGGACAAGTTTGATGCAGGGAGGTCATAGAAGCCATGACCTAGAAGGTCAAGTGGTCCTTCCAGATGGATCTTATCTCTGTGCTTGCTTTCTAATGTGTTGAGAAACTTTTATTTCCACCATGATTGTAAATATTGCTTGTCAACGTGACAGGACTTATATTAACCATGTAAACAAATTGTTGGGCATCCCTGTGAGTGTTTTTAAAGAGTAGATTAAAGGGTTCACTCTAAGAGTGAGCATCACCATTCTATAGTTTGTTGTCTCAGAATTGAGAATGAGAAAAAGGTGTTTTGTGGTATTTACTTTTTTCTATTGCTAAGAATACAATGTCATCAGGATCCTCATGCTCCTAGAGCAATGAATTTCCAAAGATAAGGGCTGAAGGCTCATAACATCATCCAAAAGAAACACTTGTTTAAATTACATTAGGAATGTATGTGTCTTCAGTAGCAGAACAAGAGATAACATACACACATGCACGTTATAGTATTTCAATTAAAGGGGTGGATAAAAGAAATAATAACTGTTTACATTCTGTAATTTTAAGCATGGAATCAAGATGGACTACTCAAATTTTAGATATAGTGAAGGAATTCTAAAATAGACATTGTGTATTGGTTTTAACGAAAAGTTACAATTACAAACACAGATATGTGACTATACATTTCCTCAGTGGTGATACTAACTTGAAAGTTATTGCAACTTTGAGAGTTGCAGACTTATTGGCAGAATTATTTCAGTGGTTGGGGATTTTGAAAATTTATGATCATCACCTAATTTCAGTATTCACTCTCTGCTTCCAGTGTGTGGATTGAGACATTTTGTTTCAGGTTCCTGCCCATCTCTCCATGGATGCCAAAGATTGCCATGCCTCCTGCATATAAAGGACACTCAAAACTCCAGAACCATAAGTCAGATAAACTCTTTGTTCCAAAAGTGACGTCTGGTGATGGTGTTTGATCATAGCAAGATAATATAAATTATTCAGTTTTCTATTGTAAATGTAGAGATTTTTTTACATCACAGTGTCCTCTGAGACATTATGAGGATTTCATATAACACTTCTCAGGTGTACTTAATTTTTGTCAAAATGACAAATATTAACCCATTCACCACTGAATATTAGCAGATATATAAAGCAAAAAATGTCCTTTTTTAAGAATCAGGGGATGATAAAGCACTGTCTTTTAGCAGTTAATTTTTGACTTTGTCTAATGGGAATTTTATAATACTGGGATTTAATTTCAAAAGTAGAAGTTGTTATACTGCAGGATATATTTGTACTATAATGATAACTTTAATGCATTGAGATAATATATAACCCACCTCTGAATATCTTTCTGGCCATCGTATCATCTTCTCAGATAAAGTCAACTGTTGACTCTGGGGAGCATTGGGCAAAAAATTTCCTACTTTCACTTTTAATCCAAGACCCTTTGGAAAATTCCAAAAGTTGAGAATATCATACTTATCATCATCTAACTTCTGTTTCCATTCTAAAGCCATGTTGGCTCCCATATGGATATTCCTCAAGAAAGGATGAAGCTGAAAGTGATGCAAGAATATGTTTTAATGTATGTCTGAGAGTTTAACCCCCAATGTATTGTAATAACTCTCAATGTTCATTATCTGTGGTGCAGGACATGATAATAATGTAGGTATCATTGAATGTCAGCAATGGTGACCTAAGTTAATGGGATACAATTCTACAAATGAGGAACAGTCAGCCTCAAAAACATATTCTATACAAACTTAGGAATGGAATTGGTGAGTATTGATTGAAACAAATATCAATTTCTTTAAAAGAAAGTGATACCCATTTACACAGGGTTCATCTCACAGTTCATTGAGTAAATTGTGGGTCCTTATGACTCAATAGTAGTTAAAGGAAATCATTTATGTACTAATAACTTGTGATAATGAGCTTTCATTGTTTCACTGAGAAAATTCTTAGGTGTCTCGTGTAATCATTACAATGAAAAAAAATGTGCAGCTATTTGTGACACAATTTTTATACACATAAAATCATTTCCTCGTTGCCACTAGCACCTTATTCCTCAGGAACAGGAACACAAAGATCTGCACTGACCTGGAAGATAGAATAACACATGAAGAATCTCCTGTGGATGGATACACATACACACACACACACACACACACACACACACACACACACACACATACACACACAGTCACACGTATGCATATATATATACTATATGTATATATACTATATATATACTATATGCATATATACTATATGTATATGTACTATATATATACTATATGCATATATACTATATGTAAAATGCTGAAATATCTAATACCTAGTTTGGGACCTCTGAAGACTCTCGAAATTTTATATTGTTGATGCTCTAATACAATGGAAGGAATATTACCTGCCAGGGGGAGAACACCATTCTTTCCCCATTTCCAAATGGTTGCATTTGTACTTGCTGAAGACTCATCTCATGGAGACTGTGGGCCACAGTATACACAGCCTTGTATGTATTGTAGCTGTCTTCATTCATTACCATGTCAAAAATATGTCTAGGCAGTAATTCCAAGGAAGCA